AGCCATGCCCCCTGCAGTGGAAGTGTGGAGTCTTAACCACTGGGCCGCCAGGGAAGTCCTCCTCCCCCTTTTTTTTTTTTTTTTTTTTTGCGGTACGCGGGCCTCTCACTGTTGTGGCCTCTCCCGTTGCGGAGCACAGGCTCCGGACGCGGAGGCTCAGCGGCCATGGCTCACGGGCCCTCCCGCTCCGCGGCCTGTGGGATCTTCCCGGACCACGGCACGAACCTGCGTCCCCTGCATCGGCAGGCAGACTCTCAACCACTGCGCCACCAGGGAAGCCCTCCCCTTATTTTTAAAATTAGGGAAACAGTTTTCACGGAAGCCAAACCAATAGACTTTTGTCTCCATCTTGTTGAGTCACGTAAACCTCCCTAGTTACAAGGGAATCTGGGGTGGCAAGAATCTAACTGAGCATATTACTGTCCTCCCGCAAAGTGGGGTTCTGTTAATAAGGAAGAAGGGGAGAACAGATATTGGATAGGGAACCAGTAATGTCAGTCATGCCTAAATTGAATTATATGTGCTGAACACAGGAAAAAATGGAGAAATAAATTGCACCAGTGATCCTGTCTGCCATTCTTCTCAACGAGCATGCGCCCTAGTGTTTGCGTGAGAATGGGAGACTGTGTTGCCTCAGTTGACATCAGCTCCTACCTACCTCTCGTGTGAGCATCCAACTGGGCTCAATGACAACCTGGTTATTAACAACATGCATTTTTTTTTCATACAAGGTGGCCCCGAAAGCCAGCCCAGCCACTTTATCTGGTCCTTCACCCAAGAAATAGCTGTCTTTTCTCCAGCACCAGAGGGAAAAATAACCTAGTGCATTAGACTATCAGGAGATGGCATGTGTGTCTTGGAAGCAGCCCACGTTTAAGAGAATTTTGAGAGCGATTTTGACCGCGGGCAGTTTCCCCCATGGCACTGACTGACCTTAGCTTCCAGTGGCCGTGTAAGATGCAACTTCAGTGAATATCTGAGTTAGGGATGGAGCGGATGAAAAGGAGTGACGTTCACTTTGGCATGCTGAGTTCTAGAGACCAGGAAGGGGCTAGTTCAGGCTCCACTAACTAATGTTCTCCTGTTCCTTTTCCACCAGTCTGAGCCACGGGAAGGAGATAAATCTACCTCAAGCCACAGAAGCGGTGCCTTAATGCTCTGTGCTCATTCACTCCAAACGGAATTCCTGAGACCAGTCAAGTTGGAATAGTCTGTAATATGTTGGTAGTTTGTCCATTTGTTTACAAAGGTTAAGCTTTTGTATTAAAATTTCGTCAGAAAATAGGAAATTCAGGATGTTTAGCAACTTGGAGTGATTTGCTTTTTTTTTTTTTTTTAATGATTTTTTAAAGTAAAATTGATTTTTGAGAAGTGTCTTCAAGTTATTTGGGGGCAGGGAAACCTCAGCATCTGTATATATACTACTTAGTATATCTCTTTAAGGGAGGGTTTACTTTTATTTTCATAGCTCAGATGAAAATGGTGTTGTATTTTGAAATAGTTACTCTTTCATTTGATCTGCAAATGTTCTAGTTTCTGTAGAACTTTAACAAAACTACCAGCTTTAGCAGAGGAGAAATATTCATCTTTCAGTAATTACTAAATGCTCTAATAAAGTCTGGTGCATGAAGTTGTATATACAGTTGAGTGAATTTATTTTAGGAAAATGAAACCTACATAAGTTCAGGCCATCTGCAAAGTAACTTTGCTCATGATTGGATAAGTACAATTAAAGACTGTAGACTGAAAACCAGCTTATACTTTATATAATTAAGTTACATAATATAGCTTATTTATAGTTTAATCAGCCTAAAGCAATCTTTACAACCCCAATTTGTCATTTTTCTTGAAAAATTTTTAATGAGCTATGTTATATTGTTGTAAGCTTTATAGAGTATAAAAGTGTTTAATTAACTTCATTTTTAGACGTGATTAACATTTAACTCAGTGGACTTTGAGTAAAGCAGATTACCCTCCATAAAGTGGGTGGGCCTCGTTCAATCAGTTGAAGGCCTTAAGAGCAAAGACTGAGGTTGCTGGAAGAAGCAGTTTCTGTTTCAAGATTGCAGCATAGAAATTCTGCCCGAGTTCCAGCCTATTGGCCAGCCCTGCAGATTTCACACGTGCCAACTCCCACAATTTTGGGAGCCAACTGCTGAAAAATATCTCTCCCCAATCTGTAAGTTACTTATACATATATTTTGTAAGACAGGATTATCTTTATGTATATCCTATTGGTTCTCTTTCTCTGGAGAATCCTGACTGATTCAGGGTGTCTCAAAACCAGTGTAGCTGAGACCTCTCCAAGGAGCCTAATGAATGAAGTGTGTGTGTGTGTGTGTGTGTGTGTGTGTGTGAGCAAGGTGGGCAGGGGGTCAGAGTGGTTAGAATATGTGGACAGTGTCAGTTCGGAATTTTGGTGCTAGAAAACTAGTATGTTAAGTAAAGCAATAAATCTCCAACACGAAAAAAACTCAGCTTTGCCTTTGGTCAAGGAAAGCTGGAAAAACTTCTTGCCACGTGGGTTCGGATCTGTTGAGCGGAGGCCCCGCTGTACCTGGTCAGGCTCTTATGTTTCTGGTCATTTAACCGTTTGATTCTCCCATTTATGATATGGTCATTATTACTGACCTGATAAGAGAGAAACAAATGCCATCTGCGTTCCAGAGCACTGGTCACTACTGGCTGAAACTCCTCTTACCGGGAATTCAGGTAAGCTAGGGGCTTGCCTTTTTCATTGGGTCACTGGATTTCTTTCTTTATGTGGCACAGGCATTTTTAATTGTTTATAACAGGACATGGTGGCTGTGTAATGTGTCGGCTAGGCTGACCTTAATTTCCCAGAATCCCTGCTCCTGTACCTTTCTGGTGAGAGTGGACCACAGAGAGCCCAGTGGGAGGCTTGCAGGGCAGAGTAGCGGGTTTGCCATTTTGTGTGCACATGCCCTGTGGCCTGTCTGCTGACTCCCCTCAGTGCCCTGAGGCAGATGCTGGGCCTGCAGCTACTCCGCCTTCCCCTGATCCTCTGTCAGCTCCTCCTCTGGGCCAGGTGTGTGCATAGCTCTGTGACACATGCCCTGGCTTTTGCAGGTCACCCTCATTCCCAAGGTCAGAGGCAGCTGGGCTGGCAGTCTGTCCTCGGGAGCTCCAGCTCTGGGCTTGCTCTCGGGTCTTCCCCACTCCGTATCTGTCCCCTCTTCCTGACTGTCTGCCGTGTAGACTTCAAGCTCCAACATCAGACCTGACGACAACAGCCTTACAGAGGCTGGTTAATCACTCGCACAGCTGTGTAAGGTCAAGTTCTGTCGGGATATATGTGGGTATCACCTAGTGGTTCTGCTTCTCAGCTTGGACACTAATAAACAGTGCAATCGTTTGTCTTTTTTTGGTTATCAAAAGAAGAAAAAACTTCAAATAGACTTCAAAATTGTGATTATTCTCACTCGGTGATGGCGCCTCAGTTGTCTTGGTCATTTTTCTCGAGCCAGGAGTAGTAGCACGGTGTTGTGAGCTGAATCAGGAATAAACAGTGGCCTCAGCATTCATCTTTGGTTCCCCACGTGAATGAGGGGAGACTGAATCCTGACATGTTTAACAGCATAAACAGCACACTCTTACCATTTAGTGATAACCCCCGTTTTCCCTCTAGGTGGTGCCCACTGGACGAGAGCTCTTTGAGCAGAGACCTTGTCTGATCTCTGCACCATCTTATTCCAAATCCTAGTGCGATGCCTGGCACGTGGGGGGCACTGGAGGAAGTGCCTCAGCATTGCGGAGGGGATCGTGACTCCCATTAGAGTCCTGGGTGTTTAGCCTCTGGAGTTTCCTTGGACAAAGCTTCCTCCTTGTCTGTCTGGAGACTTCCTCACCCATCAAGACAGCTCAGGCACTGGCTCCTTTGGGAAGGTTTCCGAGGTAAGCTGTTTTCAGTACTTCTGTTATTTGTGAACGTTTAGCGTGTATAAGCAGCTGTGCTGTAATGGATTGGTTCGACCCGTTGTTTAAAATAATGAAATCCCAGCAGATTAAGGGGAGGCTCTTTAGCCCCATGCAGAGAGGGCTCCACGCCCTTAAGTCTCTGCCAGTCTTCACCAAGGTCAAGCCTCAGCTCACATGCCTCTACTCCTGAGCTGCGGTGGCCTCCCGTCTGCCCGTCTCTGCGACGGGAGAGGCCAGAGCTGCAGAGCATGGCACCATGTCGTTTGTCCCTAATCTTCTCTCTCCAGCCAATCCAGTTTTCCTGCCCGGGTTACCCTTGTAAAGCGGTTTTTGTGGTAACCCTTATATCCTCTGCTTAGCTAATTGGTCTTAACTTTTCCTTATGAATGACCTTTTTCTGAACCAGTTTCACTTGGTGTATGAACACTATGTAAAGGTAACAATGTGACATAAAAGCCCGCTGCTTACTGAATTCAACATCTAAAATTAACTGCTAAAATGTCACTTTAAAAAATTCCTGAGTAATAGGTCACTTGGAACAGCATGTAGAACACATGTGTACAAATCAATTTATTATACAATTATACAGAATGCTTTTTATCTACAAAGAAAAATGGCTTCTCTTGCCTCCCCGGCTGCCCCAATCATGATACGTTCTTAACATATAAGTATTTTCAAAGGAAAACCAAAAAAAGTGATATCCTTATTTTCCAAATAAGGAAGGCCCCAGAAACATAAAATGATATGGAAATACTGGAAAGAACTAGACTGGTCTCTTACACAAAGAGCTAGTTCTCCATCACAGGAAACAGCATTTTGCCTTAAAAATACTTCTCTAATGGGGAGGACTTCCCCACTGCACAGTGCGCCTAAATGGTTCAGTATATCATTTCAATGGGTTGAAATTTCTATATTTAACTCCATTAAATAACATTCCATTTTGTTACTTAAAAAAGTTGGAATTAGCAACATATATGCTTACAATATTCATTTAAATGTTTTCATACCTATGAGTAAGAGGAAATTTATTTGGGGAAAAAACATTTCTTTTTTTAACAAATTATACAGATTTTTTTTAAAGCTGTGCTTTAGGAAAATCACGTTAAAAGTAAACGTTTAAAATTGTAACACTTAGAAACAGGTGAAGACATTTACCTGACTCAATTTTTGTGACTAAGACTTTATATAGCTCTGTATTTTTTTTTTTTTTTACCAGCCCTTGAATGGTTTAAGGCAATAAGTTTCATTAAGCTTCTCTAGAATTAAAGACCAAGTTGGAAATAAGCATCCTGAAACCTCTAGCCAAATCTGAGCTTGAAAGTGTAAACTAACCAAGTTTTTTCCTTTGATCAGAGAGGTTTCCAGCTGCCTGGGCTTTCTCCTTTGGCTGAAGGATGCTGCCCTCCGTGTTGTGCAGATATGAAGCCCATCAAAGCATCCAGAACTGCAGGCATGAGGCCAAGTGGTGAGCCCAGGGCCTCACTGACGATTAAACATAAGCTGGAGCCAGTGACTGACCAGTGACGTCTGTCTTCTGAGTCTCATTTTTACCTGCGGTGAGTGCACTTTGGTAACAGATTTTAGCTCATGTCTGAGACGTAAAACTGAACTAGAGCCCAGCTGCTCCAGGGTGCTTCGTCCTCAGTCTGTCGTGGGTTTTGTCACAGAGGAGTGCTGAGCCATGCTTGAAGCGAGCCCTTGGTTTTAAAGGGAGTTTCTGGGAGAGAACGAGACGTATAACCGTGCAGGTATGATGTGATGGAAGCGGAGATTAAGCACCCTAAAGCAAGTCAGTTTTAAAAAGCTATTTAGAAAGATCCAAGAGTAAGGGGGCATCAGACAGAAGATGTCTGTTAGAAGATGTCTGTTCGGTAGAAGTGGGTCAACTGGCAGAGAAGGGGCTACAGGGCACGATGCCCTCACCGTGACGACTGGACTAAAGTCAGTCACCTTTCAGTGCAGCAGAATCCCAAGGGGCTTTTACAGGAAACAGCAGAGTTGGTTTCCTCAGTGTATGTGTCAGTACCGAAGTGTGTTGTGTTGTTTTCCTGTAGTTTAAAAAAATTTTTTTTCCCAGATACTCATAAAAAAAAGACATGCCCCCAAAAGGACAAAGTCGTTCCCAAACAGACTGTAATAATGTGTTGGGGCAATGGTGAAAATGCCCTTCTGGCACTTAAGCCTCTGATATCCATGTTATGACCTACAAACTTCTTAAAATAAGGTAGGAAAGAAGATAAAGCGTCAACGTTGGCAAATCTTGTTTTATAGGGTATAAAAATTTTACAGTGTATCAATCTTCAGATCTTCAGAAAACATCCTCAGTTTCCATTCTTGGGACAATTTAATAGTAAGTAAGAGCCCCACCGCTGGGAGAAGGGAGAGGGTCCTGCTAACCTTCCCGTGCTTCTCAGTGGAGCTCGTGTTACTTGGAGCAGGGAAAGGAAGTGCCGAGTTTGCCAAACCGGTGCTTTTCGTTGTGGCTCGTTCCCAGAACCTTCCCATAGCCCTCTTTTCCTATTTTCAATAACGTAACCTGCAAAGAGTGACAGCAAGTATTTGGGGATAATACTCACAAGGAGGCTCATAAGAAATCGTCGGCAAGTTCAATGTCTGTTTTGCCCCCAATGCTCTGTTAATTCTGACTTACTGATAGTCCAGTGACATATCATTCTAAGAAAAAGGGCCCACTGGACTCGAGTCCTCGTCAGAAAGGAAATGGGCAAGTCAGTTCCTGCTTTTAAAACTGAGTATTGCATCTGTATCCTAACCTGGGGCACCTTAACATCGGAGGTAGATGTGAATATATGAATAATTAAGGAAACCCAATTAAAACTGAGGAACTACTCCTACCCAAGCCCCTGAGCTGTGAAGGTTTGGTAGAAGATTTTTCTTCAAAGATAAAAAAAAAAAAATACAAACTTTATCACCATGTCACTAAGTTGAGAATTAGGAGTAGTTGTGGGAATTTGACACTCCAGAGACCGACAAGAGAGAAAAGTTTTGCTGGGTTTTCCATTTATGGGACCATTTGAATATTTTCTGGGGTTGATTCGTAAAGGAACAAATGGACTGATTACTTTATGTACTGAGAGTTATTGCTAAAGATAGATTAGAGCAGAGCCTGTATTTAGAAGACAGTTAACATTTTGTTTTAAACGTTTTAAATCTGAACAAAACTCTAACTTCTTATTTGCTGACGTGCTGTGAGAAACAGTGCTCCCTGTGTCCTGGCTTTGTAGGTGCAGAAGGCTTTATCAAGACAGCGTCTGGTGAGGGGTTAGGTCGGTGCGGGAAGGAGAGAAGTCGCATCAGTTCTGAGGTCTGCAGAGTCGTCACCTCACTGCTGATGGAAGCATGTCAACAGATTAACCTATTAGCAATATATTAATACATTCCCGGTACAAATGATTTATAAACTCAAAAGAAATTAGTTTATGCTAAAACATATATAACTTTCAACTCAGTGTCTGCTTTAAAACAAGCGAATCTGTTAGGCTATTATCTATGCTTTGTCTTACTCAGCATTTATTGTGCTTTCTTGTTTGTTATTCCATTTGTCGCAGTGAAGTAGGCTTTGGAAAAACCATTCTTAACTTCTTGCCCTGCATGTGGGTCTTCCCCATCTTTCTTCATGGGCTTTTTCCGGTATGTCTGTTGGTTGTGTCCATGTTGAAGAGAGAAAGAGAAAAGGATCTTTTAATAAGACCTTGTCTATAATGTGACATATGGTCTAAAACAGTGCATGATCTTCACTGGGTACTGAACTTTCTAGTAAGAATTCTTGTTTGTAATATGACAATTTTTAAGCTTTAAGAATAATAGGGTAAAAACGAGGGATGCATGAATTCCAACAATGAAAAGTTGTTTCTTTCGCCTTATCCACATCAGGTTAGTATTTATGTATTAAGTTTTATGGGATTAGCATTCAAATCTTACTTGGAAAGAATATGATTTTTTTGAACTTTTTAAAAAATCAAGGTACAACATTGTTAGTTCAGGTGTACAACATGATCTGATTTGTATATATTGTGAAATGATCACAAAGTCTAGTTTACCATCACCACTTACAGGTACAGAACTTTTTTTCTGAGATGAGAACTTTTAACATCTAATCTCTTAGCAACTTTCAAATATGAACTACAGTATTATTAACCAAAGTCACCATGCTGTATGTTACATCCCCATGACTTATTTAAGGATGTAATTTTTAAAAAATACAATTCAAATGAAAAAGTGCTGTTACTTTAAAAGTACTAGAACCTGGGATTTTGCCTTGACGTGCGTTCTCATTCCTCCCACTTTTTTTTTTTTTAAAAGCAATGGCATCAACAAGGGTCAACACTGAAAAGCATACACTCAATTTTAAAGGACTAAGACTCCATCTCAACCAGCAGATGGAGCCACAGCTCTGAGCGCCACTGCCCCCTGCTGGGCTACCGATTCCCTTCAGGTTTCAACACCAAGGAGCCTGATTCCCCTAACCTTCCTGCAACATTGAGCAATTTTTTTTGGGGTGGGATGGGGGGCAGCAGGGCTGGGTGGTGGCTTTGTTTGGTTCTCTCAATGGTTATTTCTTTAGAAATTCTCAAAGGAAACTTTTCTCTCTTACAAAAGACAAAGCATTGCCAGTCTAGTTTCAGAAACACAAGAGCTGAAAAGCTGTCAAAAGTTCAGTTCCCACAGTTGTCCTCTGTGTAAAACCACTGTGCATTTGCTGAAAGTCAACCCAAACTAAAAAATCAGCAAAGCAGGAGAAAACACAGTTGAATACAATTTCAAAAGTACTGTTTTGAATAAACTGTATGTTCTCATTTTTCTTATGAAGCTTTCTATTTCCGCAGCCCACAAAGGAGAGCAATTTAAAATCTACAGCCACGTGAGGCCTGTGCTGTGATCACTGCCATCAGTTCTCTTATAACAGTCGCTTTGAAATTGCATTTTGAAAACCTCTTCCACTGAAACTGTTAGTTAAAAAGAAAACGACACAAGAAAAAGTCAGTGTGACCTTTCCATACTGGTTTGCCTTAAAATAATTTTTTTCCCCCAAATAAACAGTCTACAGTGTAGCAGTAGATGACATGGAAACAGTTTTTTAATATTAAGTTCATTTAGTCCATGTTTTCCTCCGTTCATACAGAATTCCTGGATCTGTGTTACTATACACAGTGTTTAACTTTCAGAGGGCAGACTTCGGTAGCATGGTGCAAATACATGATTCGAATGCATTTTTTTTTTTTTTTTGGCGGTACGCAGGCCTCTCACTGTCGCGGCCTCTCCCGTTGCGGAGCACAGGCTCAGCGGCCATGGCTCACGGGCCCAGCCGCTCCGCGGCATGTGGGATCTTCCCGGACCGGGGCACGAACCCGTGTCCCCTGCATCGGCAGGCGGACTCTCAACCACTGCGCCACCAGGGAAGCCCTCGAATGCGTATTTTTGATAAAACTACATGCATGCATTGAAAAACGTCTAACAAAATGCCCACCAGACCATGAACAGTGGTTATCCTGTGAGGAGGACACAGGGAGGGGAGTTGAGAATGCAGGTCTCACTCTGTACTGAGTGCACCTCTGTTATTTGAATTTATCAACAAGCCTGTGCTACCATAATAATCGGTAAAATTAAATACATAATGCAGAAGTGCACAGTCTAGTGTTTTACAGTTGAAACAGTTTAACTTACCTGAACATAGAAGTTTAAGAACAGGATGACCAGCGTCAGCATATAAGAAGACTGGAAGATGAGACAGCCGAAGGGGAAGCCGCAGGGCCTCACGACAGCACTCATGGTGTGGGTGACGGTGAGCACGAACTGCACCTGCAGGGGCGGCAAGGGTGGAACCACTGCATTCAGGCAGTTAGCAATCGACTACTCGTACTCCCTACCTCGTGCAGGGGTAAGACAAACAAGACAACGCTGAAGCAGCCCACCGTCCTATCCAGAAATCTTGTTTGAGATTAGGAAGTGTATAAAATTGGCCATGATTAATTTTCTCCTGGAAAAATCACAGTTGAAATCATTTAGGTAAAAATGCTTTAACAGACATGAATTTCAAAAATATTCACACAGACGTTTTAACACACAAGGTTTCGCTCTTAGAAGTCCATTTTTAGAGGAAAAGAGGCAGCCTCCTCACACACAGAAAAGCCTCTGACCTCCAGGGCTGGGACTGAGGACATGCAGATGCTTCACATGGAGAAAAGCCGACAGAGGGATGACATACCAGCTGAGCCTGCGTGAGATACTTCTTCCACCAAAGATACTTGCGCATAGATGGAAACACGGAAAGGCCATAGTAAGTGTACATGAGGATGTGGATGAAGCTGTTCAGGGTGGGTCCAAAGAAACCTAGAAAAGTACAGTATAAATTACTGTTCTTCTAGAAAGTATGATCGTTCGTTGTCAAGTAATACTCTTCCTGTGCATCATAATTGAAGACAAATAACAATATGGCACTAACAAAATTCACCCTGATAAATTCACCGATTCCTGTGCCATTATCCGGGGATTCACCCAAGGTCCCCTAGACAGAGGGACTAACCTGGGGTAGGTTTTCAGTCAGTGCCAACCAAACAGGTAACCCCTGATTTGCAAAGGCTGTGCTGCTTCTGTCATTACCACCATCCAATCAGGTGGCAGAATCTGAGGAAGTGTCTTTGCTTTAGCTAAACCTTTGATGAGCCATTTTGATTGTAGAAAGAGCTTTCTTCGTTCATGGCTGGACAGGGTGCTAAAGCGTCAAGGAAAATGTATTGCTCTTCGTAGTTCAGTAAATAAAATCTACCTGGCAGGAACCTAGAACCAGAAGATGCTGCAGAAGGTAAGAGAATACAGGGGAGAGAAAAGGTCCAGCAGGATGAGAGGCTGGGGCAGGGGAGAGGCGGGCCTATGGGACTTTCCCAGTAGCCAAGCCACCTCCTGGACTTCTGGAACAAAGAATGTCTAAAATCCAGTTTTAGGATATCGCCTGTGCTGAGCTGTGCAGTGGAACTCCCCCTTCCCCTGCTATCACCTTCATGAAATCTGACATCAACGTGGGTGAATCGTGTTTCAGGAAACCAAGGAGCGAGGGCTAAGTTCTAGGTTGGGTCAACCAAGGGTCAAAAGGACTGAGCTGCAAGAGGTAAGGTGGCGGAGACGGAAACAGGGAACTCGTCGTAAGGATGACATCAGACAATGCAGGCAAAGGGCTCGGAACGGTGCCCAGCACAAAGTGAGTGCTATGCCTCTATGAGCTGTCAACCCTGTGGGAGAGGAGACAGGCTCTGGAGCCAGGGGACCCCCTAATAGTTCTGTCCCCTTGGACATACTAGTTTGTAAATTTTGTTTCTCACCTGGAAAATAGGTATAGAGTAATTATCTCTTAAGAGTGAGATGCGGTTAAATGAGATAATACTATATAAACTAAAAGGCACTGCACATATGTTGGTGGTTAACTAATCAATTTAAATTCTGCCTGCCTGCTTTCCCAATCCTGGATTAGCGATCTAGACAGATCAAGTCAATGAATAAGAAACAAGAGGAACACCAGGAATCTAGCAAGTCCTCATACACGGGCTGGAATAGCTTGTCAGGGCAGTGAATTTATATGAAAACATAAATATAGTTTCAGAGTACCAGACAGCACAATATTAGTGATGTTTCTTTACCAACCTGAGTTTTCATTTCCATCAATTAATAAAAAAGAGTAGTTGCTAATTTTTATAATACTCTAGCTTGAATAGAAATCATCACACAGAATTCCTGTGAATGAAATACGATGTTTTTACAAAGTGATTATTCAAGACCAACTTTGAGATGCTTTAGTTAGTTATAAATGAAACTTGATAATCGTAAAACATACTTAACCTTGACAACAGTCCTGCGGTATTGATTTCAGCCTATATTTTGATTACAGTGCAAGTCTGTTGTAATCCTAATAACCAAGACTGGAGTATGTGGGTCTAGGAGGCATGTGAAAGCGTCTCTTTTCTCTCTGCTGCACCCCCAACAATTTTTCTTCACACTGGAGTTTAAATTTGCATCTTCACAGTCAATGATGTATTGCAAATACCCTTGGGGTTTTTAAAAATACCATCTCCACAAGCTTCTAAATCCTAGGACAAAATTATTTTAAGTTTTACGTGTTCTGATTTTTCACAGAATACTTTTAAATTCTTGGGTACAAGACAATAAATATCAAAGAGAAAAGTGCTGTTCTCTCGAGCTCAGTGTTTCTCAAACTGCAGGTCATGTAACCGACACATCAGTCAATTGTGAAATCAATATAGTGAGAGTTGTCATTAGCTTTCTGAAAAAGTGAGATCATTTTTTTTTTTTTTAAGTGCATCACAGGCCTTCCCTGGTGGCATGTGGTTAAGAATCTGCCTGCCAACGCAGGGGACATGGGTTCGAGCCCTGGTCCGGGAAGATCCCACATGCCGCGGAGCAATGAAGCCCGTGCACCACAACTACTGAGCCTGCGCTCTAGAGCCCGAGAGCCACAACTACTGAAGCCCGCGTGCCTAGAGCCCATGCTCTGCGAGAGAAGCCACCACAATGAGAAGCACACACACCACAATGAAGAGCAGCCCCCGCTCGCCACAACTAGAGAAAGCCTGTACGCAGCAACGAAGACCCAACACAGTGAGAAATAAAGTGCATCACACAGAGCCGGGCTAAATACTGTTTCATGAAATTTGTTTCATACAAAATGTATACATATGAATGAGGGCACTGGGTTGTGATATAAAACGTATTACTTATTGAGCTCTCAGTTAAAAAAAAAAAATTGAAAGCCACTGTTCTGGTGGGTCACAGTGACGTGACTTTAATTTTTCAGAATGGAAAAAACAAGCCGCCAAAGTTGACGTGACTCAACCTGTACCACAGCTAAGTGGTGACTGTGGAAGGTGCTGTATTTATTTACAGCTGCAGCTAATGAAGTAAAACTGCTCCAGCTGGGGTATGGGTTTCCGGCCATCGGGCATTTGGTGCATGGAAAAGGAAACATTTTTAAAATTTATCGTAGTACTCAAAGATTTTGCCAGGATCAAAGACAAGAAACGGGGCTTCCCTGGTGGCGCAGTGGTTGAGAGTCCGCCTGCCGATGCAGGGGACACGGGTTTGTGCCCCGGTCCGGGAAGATCCCACGTGCCGTGGAGCGGCTGGGCCCGTGAGCCATGGCCGCTGAGCCTGCGCGTCCGGAGCCTGCGCTCCGCAACGGGAGAGGTCACAACAGTGAGAGGCCCACGTACCGCAAGAAAAAAAAAAAAAAAAGACAAGAAACGAAACGGCCACTGGCAAAGGTGTGCTTCCCCGTGTGACAAGCAGGCTGGGCCGGGCCCAGTTCTCTCTCCTGAAGGTGTGCGATGCTCAGTATAGGAGACCCATCACACAGAACTGAAAAACTGACAACTTCACTTACTTTGCCCACAAGGTATCCAGTTCAAAACGCACCACCAGATGTTAAACATAGAGGCATGATGGTATACGTGAAGAAAGGTAATCTGACTGGTTTTTTTCCGCAACACAAAAAAGATCGTGTCCAGGAACTCTATTAATTTGGAGAAGTAGTACCACCATAACACTTCGGCTACCTGTACGAAATGTAAAACGGGGAAAAGACAAGGTGAGGCGTGCTGCCGCCGCAGTGCTGCCCGCCTCTGCATTGCCCCCGTTTGTGCTTCACCAGCGCACCCGGCTCCCAGACTATCGAGAAAGCATCTCAACTGGCGTCTTTGCCTCCAGCTTTTCCTTATTCCCAGCAATCCAGCCCCTCTGGTGAAAGGAATTCTCTTTCCAAAATACATTAACTGATCAAGTGGCTCCTCTGCACCTACAGAACCGAGTCTATGCTTCTTCGGTTCATACAGTTTCTCCGTGGGCCCGCGGGGCTGCTGTGTCCACTGTCCTCCTCCGAGCACACCCCCCGGGCATCCTGTGTGCTGTTCAAGTGGTCGTTTCCTCTCCCCGGAGCCCTGCTGCCCCCATACGCCTCATTCTCATGCATCCAGCACGCCTCCCCTACCCCACGTCTGGCGTGGTCCTGTCATCCTATTAGCACTCCTCTCAAATGCCACCTTGCTCTGGAACGTGACCTCAGCCTCCTGTCTCAGGCTGAATCATCCCTTTCTTCATCTGTGGTCCCAAATCACTTTACGCCTCTATTATCAATAACCACAGTCATGAACAAGTCTCCTTCCCACTAGGCTGTAAGTCACTCCGAGGCGGAGACGGTCTCCTTCACCTCCGCTCAGGGCTTGGCAGGTCACTACTGTTGTTCCACTGATTTTGATTCTTCTCTGCTCCTTTATTGTTCATATTTTGTCCCTTAAACATCATGCTCCCCGAGAGCAGTCTAGGACGAAGCCTTTCATGTCTTTTCCTCAGAAGATGAAAACTCCGGGTGCTTCTCTGCCCTTCAACCCCCAGCCCCAGCAGGTCACAGCGAGGGCTTGCTTCCCTCCCAAGTCCCTCACACAGTCCCCATCGCAGTGAGGCGCTTTCATTAAAGGCACTGGGCTCTCAGCACTCACGGTTAAACAGAAGAGGAGACACTGTAAGAGGAGCTTTGAAATTAGAATTTAACGCTCTACTATTTACTTCCCATGGTCTAGACACTCATAAGGTGTGCTGGCACCATCGTAAATGTTTGAGGGAATCATTAACCTTCAAAAATATTAAACCAGGGCTTCCCTGGTGGCGCAGTGGTTGAGAGTCCGCCTGCCGATGCAGGGGACACGGGTTCGTGCCCCGGTCCGGGAAGATCCCACATGCCGCGGAGCAGCTGGGCCCGTGAACCATGGCCGCCGAGCCTGCACGTCCGGAGCCTGTGCTCCGCAACGCGAGAGGCCACAACAGTGAGAGGCCCGCGTATCGCAAAAAAAAAAAAAAAAAAACCATAAGTAAACACATGCATACAACAGTGGCTTTTAGAGAACTGTATGGTATCCCAAAGTGTACTAGTCTGTGATAACAGAAATGAAACGGGTGTAGAGAAATCTACACATCTTACTTTTTGTATTATAGCTTTTGAAGATGTTTAAAAATGCTCATCTTAAAATTTTAATTAAAAGGTTTCTACCACCTCTTATTAATAACCCATGTTTTTATTATGGAAATTTTCAAATATTCACAAATGCAGGAAGAGTAAGGAATGCAAACCCTCTGGTATCTATCCCTGAACTTCAAAATTTTCAGTATGATTCCAATTTGTGGAATTAATTGTTTCCTACCACTTTTTTTTGGGCAGGGGGGAATGTAACATAAGCAAATACAAAGTGTATTAGTTTATCTATAACACCTTCTAATACATGGGGAAACTTGAATATAACCACTGAGACACTATCTTTTTAAAAATTTTTTTATTATTTTTTTATACAGCAGGTTCTTATTAGTTTTCTATTTTATACATATTAGTGTATATATGTCAATCCCAGACTCCCAATTCATCCCCACCACCACTACCACCCCCTTCCCCCCCCGCTTGGTGTCCATACGTTCATTCTCTACATCTGTGTCTCTATTTCTGCCCTGCAAACCTCTTCATCTGTACCATTTTTCTAGGTTCCACATATATGCGTTAATCTATGATATTTTTTTTTCTGACTTAACTTCACTCTGTATTACAGTCTCTAGATCCATCCACGGCTCAACAAATGACCCAATTTCATTCCTTTTTATGGCTGAGTAATATTCCATTGTATATATGCACCACATCTTCTTTATCCATTCGTCTGTCGATGGGCATTTAGGTTGCTTCCATGACCTGGCTATTGTAAACAGAGCTGCAGTGAACATTGGGGTGCATGTGCCTTTTTGAATTATGGTTTTCTCTGGGTATATGCCCAGTAGTGGGATTGCTGGGTCATATGGTAGTTCTATTTTTAGTTTTTTAAGGAACCTCCATACTGTTCTCCATAGTGGCTGTATCAATTTACATTCCCACCAACAGTACAAGAGGGTTCCCTTTTCTCCACACCCTCTCCAGCATTTATTGTTTGTAGATTTTTGATGATGGCCATTCTGACTGGTGTGAGGTGATACCTCATTGTAGTTTTGATTTGCATTTCTCTAATGATTAGTGATGTTGAGCATCCTTTCATGTGCTTCTTGGCCATCTGTATGTCTTCTTTGGAGAGACGTCTGTTTAGGTCTTCTGCCCATTTTTGGATTGGGTTGTTTCTTTAATATTGAGCTGCATGAGCTGTTTATATATTTTGAAGATTAATCCTTTGTCCATTGATTCCTTTGCAAATATGTTCGCCCATTCTGAGGGGTGTCTTTTCCTCTTGTTTACAGTTTCCTTTGCTGTGCAAAAGCTTTTAAGTTTCATTAGGTGAGACACTATCTTATCTAATATCTTATTTAATAAAATTAATGAATCTTTAATATCTTCTAATAGTCCGTCCACCTTCAAATCCACCTGATTTTCTCAAAAGTGTCTTTTTATTGGTTTGTTTAAATCACGATCAGGGTCCAGCTTGCATTTATTTGACGTGGTTCTTAAGTTTCTTCTAATCAGTAACAGTTCCCTTTCCCTGCTCCCCTGTTTCGTTTCGTGTCTTTTCTTTCTTAAACTAGATCAGCTGTACAGAACTCCTAATATGGATTTGGATGACTGTTTCTTCCTCGTGTGGTTTAACTTGTTTCTCTACCCGCGGCACCCCCCCCCCCCCCCCGCCCCACATTTTCTGTAAACAGCAATAAGGGTTAGAGGCTTAACTGGATTCAGGTTTAAGGTTTGGGCAAGAATACAGTTGACCCTTGAACAACACAGGGGTTAGGGCACTGACCCTCTGCACATCGAAAATCTGTGTACAACTTACAGCCAGCCGTCTGTAGCGTGGTTCCTCCGCGTCTGCAGGCTGTACAGTACTGTAGTATTTAGTACTGAAAAAAAGTCTGCGTATAAGTGGACCAGCATGATTCAAACCCACGTAGTTCAATGGTCAACCGTACTTCAGACGTGGTTCTGGGTACTTCCTATGGAATCACATCAAGAGGTACCTAACTTCTGATATTAAAATCAACAGTGAGTTTGGGTGTTAACAGCCTAATCTAATCATTATGAAGTTTCCATTCAACTTTGGCCCATTACTTTCATCATTTACAGATGACCACTGTCTAGATCCATTACTTCACTAGAAGTTGCAAAATGGTGATTTTCAAATTCTCTTCATACTTATGCATTTTTCTCTTTACAGAGAAGAGCTCTTCCTCTTTAGCTATTTGGAGACTTACATATGAAAGGCAAGATAAATGTTTGATTATCGTCCTTTAATTTTTTCGTCTAGAACTTCTTGGTGTTCTAGCAACCTTCAAAAGGTAACAATGAGGGGTTTTTTTTTAGTATCATTTTAAACTCGGTTTTTCATAAATTTAGTATGTCAGTATTCCTTTTGACACTCAAACTGTCCCACCTTTAGCCGTGGGAGTCCCCTTCAAGGTGGCTCCTACATCTTCTTGTCATGACCCTAGTGGTCTTGGGTAGCTTCCTTGCTCTGTCACAAGATGTCCTGGATTCTTCTCGTATACATTTCCCACCCCAATCAGGAATTGGCCAACTCTCTAAGAATCCTAAACCTTTTGGTGGATTACATTTAGAGAGCACAATTTTGGTATCATTGCTGGGTTGTCAGAGACTAACTAGGCCTTTCCTGTACACAGAGCTAAAAGACACATTTGTTTTTAGAAAGAATAAAGTTAATTCTGCTATTTCCAATTTGAATCTGTAATTAGTGAGTGTTAGTTTCTTTTCTTCTATGTTTCAAATACTAGTTGTAATAATAGCATTATTATATAGCTTACCCTAAGTGTACCTATAACAACAAGCAATACCAATATTTTTATTAGTAACAGCAGCCCCCCAAGTTATTGAATGCTGTTACGATGCATCTCACTTGGGATATGCAGTCAAAACACTGTTTTAAAGGCACCTGGAATAATTCTTCTTTGGGTGGTTATGTCAACAACTTAATATATGGGTATATTAATTTAGTTTATTTCCGAGATATCTGGGGGGAGGCTGCCTTGTAATCTTTTAAAATGTCTTATAATTATGTAAAAACACCAACTGGTTCTGAAATATAAGACAAGGTACATTCAGAGAAGTCTAGCTTCCATCCCTATCCCCTCTGACCTGTTCCCTCCCCCAAAAGGAAACCATTTTGTTAGCTTTTGGTTTATTCTGCCATTGTTTCTTTTTAAAAACATAAGCAAATATACACATAGTCCTATCATTTCTTGCACACAAGGCACTGTACTGTAAGCACGGTCTGCGGGTTGCTCTCTTCCACTGAGCTACATCCTGGAGATTATTTTGTAACAGGACAGCGGTCATCCTCATTCCGCTTTGCAAAGGGACCCACTGCATGGATGCACCATGGTTCATTCAGTCTGTCCCCCAAGTAAGCATTTCTATTAGGACGGGAGACCGTTTCTTATCTAACCCCAGCTTCCATCGTCGTATCTCGAAGGAGAAACGGTTACAGATGGTTGACTCACCCGGATGTCGGCTTCCCCTGCACTGGTAAGATCCTGACACTGTAAGTTGTAGCCTCCTTCCCAACTGGAGAGAATAAGCTGTCAAAGAAACAAGAGGAGAAAAAAAAGTCAGTGTGAGAATTTGGACGAAAACTGAATTTCCCATTCATGTTTCTGATTGGCATCGATTCAAGATTGAGTTCTTCCCAGAATGAGTTTGACTCGATCCTGTCCCCAAACACACGCTATCAAAGGATCTAATTTTTGCTGTTGAACTGATATATCAGTGCTTACAATCCTTAATGTAATTTACTTCTAACCTCCACATCCATCAAAAACAGAATTTAGCTATCATTTTGAGCACCAAACTATTGTATGTAAGGAATTTATCTAATCATATGTTCTACAAATAAAATGTAGAAGTAAAATGTAAACCAATGTGAGGAAACTACACTAACACGTTAAAACTTTACATTGGCTTATATATAAATAGTTACTGGATCATCTAATTTTATGAATTATGTATTTATTACCATTTTACAGATGTGAAAACCAGGGCTCAGAAACGTTCTTAAATCACTTTCTCCATTTTATTGACGTGATGCAGTAACCAGACATTTGTGCGATTATGACTGATTAATGTCTGTTTTCCCCATTACGCTCAGGAAACAGAGAGCTCCACAAAGTCTACGCCTCCTTCTTTGCTCACCTCCGCATCTACAGTTCCTTGCCCAGTGACTGGCACGGAGAAGGTGCTCAACCGCTGTATGATGAATGGGTTATTTGCTCACAATCACATGGCTAGATAGTGGTAGAACAATGATTGGATTCAGGTCTTCTAATTCCTTGTCTAGTATTCTTTTTACAACATCATAAGAAAATGAACTTTGTGGAAAATTCCTCAGAAGAAGTTTTCTCCATTCTTTCCCATTATTACTAAGAAACTTAAAATTCTAGAATATAATATAAGGCCTTTGGCTTTGATTTACATGGGATATTATACGTGAAAGCCTACAGTTTTCTGTTGCTTTATCAGAACTGTGTAAAGGTACAGCACTGTTACAATACACAAACAGAGCAGGGAGGGACAGATGTTCATAACTGAGCAGTAAGAAGAGATGAACTACTAAGAACACTGGGAATGTTCTAGAACCTTTGCAGGTCTTTGCTCTACTATCCTTATTGACTTCTCTATCCTTCTAACAAAACACCTTTCAGTTAACGTCATGACAAGTACAGACTATCAGGGTAAGTGAATCTGGTGAAAGTGAAGGAGACTGACCTTTCCTGATGGGGTCTATTACAGATCAAGTCACCCCCCAGGTACCCCACAGCTTTACGTGCTGGTTCTCAAAGGGGAACCCGTGACGGGCCACAGGGGATCTGGGAATACCTAGAAGTGCATGTAAGTTTTTGTGTGTCTTTTTCAAAATAAAGTTTCCTAACTTTGTAAAAAGATTAAAAACCTCTATGGTCAGGCTGTCGTTTTGCAGTCAGGGGCTCTAGTATCAACTCTGTGTGGTAATGATACAGAGGCGGGGAAGGACAGGCTGTGCTCTGCTTTAGCCAGCTCTATCCAGGCCGTCCCCATCCCCACGGCACCTCTGCAGGACCATCTGACAAACTAAACGGCAGAAGTCAGCATCAGGCTACGGGAGGCTCTATTTGCTCACCTTGAACCCTTCCTAACGCCCTAGCTGGGCGGGCTGGCAGAAACCACCCAGCCTACGTGTTGAAGAGAAGGAAAGCAGGCTGGCAAGCAGGGTTAGCCTTCAGGAGGTGTGGACTGACTCGCTCCGAAACAGGATGAGGGTCCACTCCCCACGTCCACCACCTGAATCCACGCCGCTGGCGCCCGCTGACTGTAGCCCTGCAGTCATCTCCTAAACGGACCCTCTGCCTCCATTCCTGCCCCCAACTCACTCTGAGTCCACTTTCCACGTAGCAGCCAGAATAACCTATTTAAAAAGGGAGATCCTGTCACTCCCCCATGAAAGTCCTCCAGGGGCTTTTCATCACGCTTAGAACAACGGCCAAATTCCTGACAAGGCCGGATGTAACCTGCCCCCAACCTGCCTCGCCTTGAAGCGGCCCTCCGTCCGCTGTCCTAGCTCCTAGCCGCACGGCCCCTGCCCACGGTCCTCGAGCACCTCAAGGCCTCCACACTTGCCGATCCTCCTGTACCGGCGCCTCCCCAGAGCTCTGCACGCCTGGCTTGCTCTCATCACCCAGCCTCAGCTCAAACATCACCTCCTCAGGAAGGCCGCCGCGCCCTGCCCCGCCCCGGCCATCGCTCCCTCGCACACGCGGAGGCTGTGCTCCAGAGCCTAGAACACAATCTGACACAGTGCAGGGACTCAACACAGTTGTTGCAAGAGTGTTAGTAATTTTAGTGTAGCTTTCTGGCCTAAGCAAACATCTGGCCTGGACGTAACAAGTGAGCAAGGTTAAGGTAAGCTATCCTTTGACCAGAGTCTAACCAAACATTCCCCATAGCGTCAAAGAGAAGACCTTATGCCCTGAAAGAGGTTGCCGTTGGGAGACTAGGAGGCAATCAACCAACAGCAGTGATGTGGAACCAAGAGATGGAAGAGTGTGAAAAGAGAACCACTGGACAAGCCAGAGCTAAAACTTGTGGTGGAGAATGAGCTCCACGCAGACGTTCTCCCTAAAAAAGACAAACCATGTACCTGGCTGTTCAAACGCTGTACTGCTGTTCCTGCTGACGGTGGCTGAGGCTCACCTGAAGAACGACGAGGCCCTTCCGCAGCGACTAACTGCTACTTGCACTAGTCTGTGAACTCTTCAAGCACAGAAACCACGTCTAAACATCTTTGTGGCCCCTCGGCTGCACCGAGCAGGTGCTCGCTGAATGCGGGCTGAACAGAACTGATTCGTCCTTACACTCATGAGGGAGTGAAGTAGGACAGACATCGTATCTCCATTTGAAAGCTAAGCTGCCTGAGGTTCAGAGAGCCTAAGCAACTCCTCCAAAGTTGCAGAGAAAGCGAAAGGCTGACACTTGAATTTGGGTCTTCTGCCTCCACAGCACCGTTGCTTCCAGCAGGGATTAGAGCTTCCAATGCAGACAGATGGTCAGGCCGGCTCCCCTGATGAAGCTGCCACTTCTGGGAACCACCCAAGGAAGAGTAACTCTCCCTCTGTCATACAGGGAGAAACTAACTCTGTAAATTACTATCTTGCAAGCTCATCTAGTGAACTAAAGTCTACCCAGAGAAACCTAAAATAGAAATTCCCCTTTTAGAGTCAGGTAAATCAGGGAGCACCTATGGGACGTGATTTTAGAGCTATCGGCATGGCTTTCCTGACCCCAAATTCTGTCTCCTGCACTCTGATGCCTCAAATTCCATAATTAGAGTTTTATGACAGTCATTTTAGATACTGGTTATTAACCATTATTAGAATGGTGCACATTAGACTAATGTACAGATTAAACTCTATGGGTGAGATGGCCTGTATTTTAGGCAAGAGTTTATTTTCGTTTAGAAGCCAAGGACACCAGGAAGGCAGCTATACCTATGCCACTGTCAGCCATTTATAATTTATATGAATGAGTTTATCCTAACTGTTCCCCAAAGAGGTTGTTCTGTTTTAGTTCTCTCTCTCAAGCACATTTATTTAACACTTTTCGATTTTCTCTTGTATTATAGTAAAATAACCTTTGGTTGTAATAGGCAGGGCAATCGTTACTTGTTCTTTTTTCTTGTGAAATTACTTAGGTTTGGCATGTTATAAAGGAGCAGGGAAGACATGATGTAATGTGGGGAGCCACAGCCGAGCTGGAATGTCACCCCAGGCCTCTGGAAGTCAGTCCTGAGGATACACAGTGACCCAGAGATGGGAGGAGTATCCTTTAAGGGAACGTACATTTGCATTTCGGTCAATCTAACTGCATTTGATATTTAACTTAAAAAAACAGTTACTCAATAGCTGTCTATTCGCAGGCAAATCCGGTTAACTTTTCTAAGCCTCCGTATCATAATCTATAAAAGAAAAAACTATGATCTTTAAAGGCCCATTCAGACCTCAACTGTGATTTTAAATTACAATGAAAGACTAAGGACTAAAGAAATAGGTCTAAATTGGGCTAAAAAACATTCAAGTTAGAAACAAAGACTTCTAGGACTTTGGGAAGGAATAACTTCAGATACCGGAACCTTGAGATGTTAAAGAACAGTATTGATAGCAACCGTGGACAGTTCTAGAACGCCAGATGTAATTGCTTCTAAAAATCACTCGGTCACTGTTCCCCAGAGTCAGCTACACAAACACTTACCTCTGCCAGCATGTACGCGGAGAGAAGTGTGATTCCAAGATTGTACAAGGTGAGGACGCCCCTGAGGGAAAGAGCAGGTCTGTTCCTCATGTATCTGTTGCCCAGCCATATGGAAAGCAGGTATAAGACAGTGAGAGAAAAGGTAGGAAGGTAGGAGTCCAACATGAACCACCCTCTGACTCGAGAATCTGCAAAGAAACACACAGTGAGAATCCCGAGGGCACCCCACGCGCTCAGTTGGGAGACACGGTCACGTGTGCTGTATCTGCTCACCCAAGTTCCACAGGGAACTGCAGGCCACAGCGTAAGCAAGCTGGGTCTGAGTTATAGTTCGGAAGAAGAAACCAGTGGGGCCTGGAATAGTTAAGGAGGGGCCCGTGGAGCAAACAGGGCTTCAGTTGAACGATGAGTGACAAGGACAAGTAATAAAGGTGGGAAGTCACAGTTCTTGAATGTCTAACTTTGGAACAGTTACCGTAGTTACTCTAACTCAGTAAATATGAAGTATTATGCCATTTTATGGATGTAAAAACAGCTCCGAAAGCGTCAGCATTTGCAGAAGGCGCTCCGGTGGCTGGGAATTCACACCCGCCTCCCGTCCATTTTACCTTTCTGCTGCCTCCCGTGGAGAAGCTTTGGGTCGGCAGGAGAGCAGACACAATGATAGCGTGTCCTGATTCCTGGAACTCACACTCCCTGGAATTTGCTTAGGATCACTGCGCATAAACCAGGAACGGCTGAGCGTTCAGCTGATCCAAATAGAGCAGTGGGATTACAGAAGGGCAAGCAGGAGGAGCTGCAGACGGCAAAGGCGGAGCCTCGGAGCCAAGGATTCAGAGGTGAGACCAGAAAATCAAACCGAGGACCCAAACCTGATCGTGGACCAAAAGTACAAACAGCCAGGAGGCAAGAACCTGGACAGAGGTGTCCCTCTGTTTACTTAGGCTTTAAAATTTTAAAACCTAAATAAAACACACATCATAGATCTATAATATAGTAATTAGAAAATAACTGTAGGCACAAAACGATTTTTGTTCTCTGCTCCTTTCTGTTGCTTAAACAGAGAAAATGATTTGGCCCAGAATTATGAAAACCGCATGCTGTTTTTTTTTTTTGTTTTTTTTTTTTTTTGTGGTATGCGGGCCTCTCACCCCTGTGGCCTCTCCCGTTGCGGAGCACAGGCTTCGGATGCGCAGGCTCAGCGGCCACGGCTCACGGGCCTAGCCGCTCCGCGGCATGTGGGATCTTCCCGGACCGGGGCACAAACCCGTGTCCCCTGCATCGGCAGGCGGACTCTCAACCACTGCGCCACCAGGGAAGCCCCCGCATGCTGTTTTTGATCTCTGTAAATAGAGCTGTAGGAACTGGTTTCTCGCTTTTCCTGATTCCTCTGTGGTCCCCACGGTCCCAGTTCCCCTTTCTGCTCCCTGCTACCCCATCTACCCCCAGCTTCTCTACACCCCCCATCCTACAGAGCACCATTTCTGTGAGCAAAGTGCCTTCTCAAGCTCTGTCGCACCGCTTATTCTGTAAAGACTTCTCCTTGCTCTGACAGACATAAAAAGGTAAGAGAGGAGCATTCATGCAACTAACAGATATTACCTTCTACACAACTGGCTCACAATTATCTGTCATAAATTTCGTGCGCTGGGCCACTTCCTAACGTCCACCTCCACATCCTACGTGCCACGTGGCCTGAAGCCTACATGTCCTTCGACCCCCAGATCAAGGTCCTGGCCTCTGAAGGAAGCCATTCCCCACTGCTCTTCCATAACTACAGCTACCCATCTGCATGACAAAACAGTTACAATTTACATGTTATCATGGCTACAATACTGTTACTATAATTAACATTTATGGAGCACTGATTCTGTGCCACACACAGACCTAAAGCCTTGTATATACATTAACTTCTTTAAAATTCTCAGAACAAGCTAATGATACAGGTGATATTATTTTTAACAGCTTCATGGAGGTGTGGTTGATAAAGTCCTGCACATATTTACTGTGAACAATTTGCTGAGTCTGGACATCTGCCAACCCCTGTGATGCCATCAGCACAGGCGAGGTGACAGATAAATCCATCACATCATAGGTGGTACTATCTCCACTTTATGATTGAGAAAAATTGGGTAAAAGAAGTTAAATAACTTGAACTAAACTGCTACCCTGCCTCTTGTTAATGGTATTATGGGTTGAACTGTGTCCCCCAGAAAGATGTGTTCAAGTCCTAACTCCTGGTATCTGTGAATATAACCTTATTTGGAAATAGGGTCTTTGCAGACGTAAACCGGTTAAGATGAGGTCGTACTGGATTAGGGTGGGCGCTGCTCAGTGACCAGTGCCCGTCCTGACAAGGAGGGCAGACTGGCTCTCAAGGAGGAGAAGGCCACATGGAGACAGAGGTAGAGACGGAGCCACGCAGCTGCAAGGCAACAGTAGAAAGCAGCGAGGGCCGAGGCATGAACAGGCCTCCCTGAAGCGCGGAGGGAGCAGGGCCCTGCCGACACCCTGACTTCCAGGGCCGTGGGAGAATAAACTGCTGTTGTTTCCAGCCGTACAGTCTGTGGGATTTTGCTACGACAGCCCCAGAAACGAGCACGCGTGGTTTACTTCCTTGCTTTTCGACTGCCTCAGAGGTGACGGTTCTACCTCCCAAGCACAGTGCACGCTCCGTGAGACCCGACTACGTCTTATATTTCTACTCTGTCTCTCTCGTAACTTATCGCCACTTAGTGCAGAGTTGACGGGAACAGTCATCAAATGCGTATCAATCGACACACTGAGTCAAGCGCGTTTAGCTAATACAGCGCCTGAGGCTGGCATTTTCTTTCGTCCCAGCCCTGTAAATGTTTGCCGCCGTTGTTGGGGAAGACCATAACTGTCCCGACCAAAAGATGGGAGCAGATACTTATATCACTTATTATCTTTGGGGCTTGAGATGTTAGCTCTGCATCTGGGTCACGTATTTGCCTAGAACCATCTCCCTTGATGGTACCAACGTGGCGTAGGTAAAGTCAGAAAAGGCTTGGGGACACCTGTGGGTTTAGCAGGGGGCCTGCCAGACAATTTAAGTTTGGGCCACCCCTCAAAGGGGAAGTGGGCACTAGATGGCCTGGAGGCTAGACTCCCTGTCACTGTGGAGGTCACCTGATCCAGTTGTCAACTGTCAATCTCACAACCTCCTTGCTCCAAAGGAAACTCCCACAAAAATGACCACTGCTGAGCAGACAACTGCAATCCTAGCCTTAATTAATCCCCATCCACAGTAATAAGAAATCATCCCAGGTCACAGTGACCTTACCAATGGCAAAGTTCAGTGTGACCTTGGCTCAGAGACACTGATGGCTCTAGCGCAAATGTCACGTAGAAAGCCAGTCACCCAGAAGCCCTGCATGCCTGTTAGATCATCACGCTACCTGCTACAGCGGCACAGCAGAAAGCACATCACATAAAGCAGGTTACGAGCTACAGGCCCCACCCTGCCTGTAGGATCATCACAAGGATAAAACGGAAAACAAAACAAAAACCAAAGGAAATGTGAAAAAATATACATATATATTAAAGCTCTGTACAATCAGTACTATTTCACTAAAACTATATAAATAGTCATTCACACAGGATAATTTATGGAGCCTGTATGGAAACTGGAGAGTGGTCTAAATCATCTCGGTGTGATTCTGTTTAAAGATTTTGAGAAACAGGAGAACCTCATTTCCCTCCCCCTCCCACCCAATAATGCTGAGGACAGAACTTGTAGATCTTCCAGCTTTGTGAACCAGCAAGGCTCAAGGGAAACAAAACGTGCTGTGGAAAACTTATTCACTTATTTGCAAAATACAGTGTCTCACAGGTTCCTAGGACTGTAATACAGCCTGGAGATAACAGTCACGGATCCTGCCCTCGCGGGAGAAAGAGCTATTAATAAAGCGTATGAAGGAAATAAACAGAGGCTGAAATACAGCATGATGAGAGGCTCTCGATTTGCCACTCTCGAGGGCAAATCTCTGCCATCCTGGTCAGGGAAAGCCTGTCGGGGAACGTAACGTTCACAGGCCGGCACCTGACGTATGAGGAGGAGCTGACTACACTGGGGAGCCGGAGGTCTTAGCGGGAGGAACAGCAAATGCACGACTGCTACATGTCGAGGATGTAAGAGATGTCTAGAGCAGCAGTGGCGTCGGAGAGACAGCTGCGGCTGCACAGTACCCGACTGCGTGCGTGGTCCGCGGCGAGGAACTGGGTTTTCATCCTGAGGACGCCGGAAGATGCTGGTGAGTGTTAAGCCAGAGTACCGCGTTCTGTGATTTAGGCTTCTAAAGTATTATCGCAGCTGACACTTAACATGATGAGAAAGGGGCAGACGCATCGGGGCGCCCCGCAGCGGTCCGAGTGACCGGTGGTGGAGGAAACATCGGGACACTCAGACGGCTGAGCTGCGGAGCCCGACCTCGTGGCCCTGGGCCGATGAAGCCCGCACAGCCTTAGAGGGAGTTGCCCAGGGCAGGTAAGGGCAGAAGGGCTGCGTGTGACTGTGCGCCTGAGGAAGTGGGAGGAGGGTGGGCGTTAGGGCGGAGAGGATGCAGCCGACCTGGAAGGAAAGGCACCGCCACCTGGCGGCCGGAGGCAAGGAGCGCACCGCGCGCTGTTCCCGCTGCCGGAGCCTGAACCCCGGGAGAGGCTGAGCAGGAGGGAGGGGCGCCTCTGCACGTTCTGGGAGAAGGACATCGAAGGTGAGGGCGGGTAAGTCCCTCCATGCCAAGTACCATTGTCAAGACACCAGAAAGGACACCATCCTCTTCTCTAACTAAACCGTGTTCCTTCCACATTGAGTTCTCAACAGCTCACTCACCCCGAGGTCCAAACATATTGTCCAAAAAGGCATTGATTTCACCATCAAAGGCCTTTAGATGCTCCTGAAAAGACAAAGAAAGAATGATTTAAGTGGGTGTTTTTGGAATCTCTCAAAATGAACCACTGCCAACAACATGAGGCTGACAGACTCTCCAAGGGTCCTGGCCTTGAGGACTTTTGACTGTAGAGACTTAAGGGAAGTGGACCAGTAAATGCAGCCTCACCTTCACAAGCTTGTAAGGATTTGGAAGGAAACAATTCCTCTTTCACTTTCTTAGGCAAGAGGAGTCCTGGAAGACAGGTTTGGTACCTTTAGACACTGAAGGGTTACTGACCATCCCATTTCCCTGGACAATGCTTTTAGAGGCGTCAACTTTTCCAGAAGCAACTTCTAGTGCTGCAATTAACAGGGGTTGTGTGCAAGCAATAGGGGAAGTCTACACCTGCATTACATAATTATTAAATGAAAATTCAGCTGAATTGTATTTCACAAAGCTGAATGTAAAGCCATAAAGACGACGTTTTTCAAGTAAGGAAATGAAGCACTATAGCCATTTTCCCCACTACCTTTATGTTTTGTTTGTTTTCAAAACATTTTCAGTACATTAGCACCTATTTAACAGTACAGTAGATAGCATCACTAGGGTATCCCAGATTAACTACCACCACTTTAACTGGACTCAGGTTGGGATTGGAGAGTTTCTGCTAAGAATCTTAATGCTGATGAACTGGCTGATGGCTCTTGGCTTGGCTCCCTTCACGCTGCTCTGACATTATACCTCTCAAAATACCTGCTCAGGTGTTCCCTACCCCTGCTGCTAAGGTCTAGAGCACCTCCCTCAAGCAAAGGTAGGAAAAGCTGGATCACTGCACAGTGCTCTTAGGAAAGGGATCTGTGAGGGGGCTTTTGGGTGAGTGGACCGGTCCCTGACTGCGTGTGAGTTTCCCGGACGGCCCTCAGGAAGTTTGTACAGAACATTCTCCATAATCAATAGCTGGAGTGCAGTCAAAAGCATCTTATTCTCAAAGAAAACATAGGTGCAGAAGAGGAGAATTAAGTTCCTGCCATCTGTAAAGAAGACGTGCACGTTGGTGACTGGCACGTACAGTTTGCATCTGTCCCTTATTCGTGTCATTGATCCGAAGAGAAATGTCAAGGAAACTTAGGTCTCTGGGAACCTTAGGAAGCTTGGCAAGGAGGATAACGATGAAAGCCTAGCATTTATTAGCACCCGCGACTTGCTGACCAGTGTATTAGGACCTTTATTATTTCGTCATATCTCTATGAAAAGTATCTGGGCTAAACCAACTTTGGAAGGTTTTAAACAGTGTCTTTACCTTTGGTTTCCATAATGGACATCTTGGGAGACCTCCAGATTGGAGAAAGGTCAACTAACATCTCAGTGTGACAGAATTTTATTTGTGTTGCCATCAGAATAGGGCAGATCTGTCCAGAGGCCTCTCATTCCTGAGCAAAGAATGTTAACCTCAATGATGTTCCCACCCTCATGACGGACACCAATAAAATCTTCATTGCCACATCTACCCACAACATTTAAACTTTTCCAATTTGTTTGCTAGGGTTCAAAATCCATCTTCCAACATCTGTCGAGCTAAGAAAACTCTAAAGGTCACAAAGCTCGTATTATTTCTATTATCTTGCAGAAATTTAGTCACAGTGGAGAAAAACAGAAACAAAAGAAAAGTTAAGAGGGGAAGACATGAAGAGAAAATAAGAGAATGAAAGATGAATACGAATGAATTTCTTTCAGTCATTAATTTACTGATTCATTAACTGATTTTCTGGACATTACTATGCACCAGCACCGTGTTAGATGCTGAAACATGAAGTCAAATGAGGCATGGTCCTTTTCTTCAGATAGGGTAACAAGCAAGTAATCAGTAATTACGGACCAGTTTTTTAAGGAGGATGAGAGGGGTTTACGGGACGTGCTGTAAGAAGGGAGAGAAAGGAAGTATTATTCAGCCATAAAAAGAAGGGAATCCTGCTATTTGCGACAATGCGGATGGACCTTGAGGGCATTACGCTAAGTGAATAAATAAGAGAAAAGCAAATACTGTATGATCTCACTTATGTATGGACTTTAAAAGAAACAAAACAAAAAAACCAAACTCATAGATACAGAGAACAGATTGGTGGTTGCCAGAGGTAGGGGCTGGGGGATAGGAGAAACGGGTAAAGGGGGTCAAAAGGTACAAATTCAGTTATGAAAAAAATTAAGTCAGGGGGATGCAATGTGCAGCATGATGATTAGAGATGATAACACTGTATTGCATATTTGAAAGTTGCTAAGAGAGTAGATCTTAAAAGTTCTCATCACAAGAAACAAAATGTAACTGAGGTGATGGATACTAACTAGACTTACTAGGGTGCTCATTTTGCAACATATACAAATACCAAATCATTATACTCTACACCTGAAACAAAAGAAAAGCCAGGAGATTTCATGCAAATCTCTTATAAAAAGAGAAGCCTAGGGCTTCCCTGGTGGCGCAGTGGTTGAGAGTCTGCCTGCCGATGTAGGGGACATGGGTTCATGCCCCGGTCCGGGAAGATCCCACATGCCGCGGAGCGGCTGGGCCCGTGAGCCATGGCTGCTGAGCCTGCGCGTCCGGAGCCCGTGCTCCGCAACGGGAGAGGCCACAACAGTGAGAGGCCCGCGTACCACTAAAAAAAAAAAAAAAAAAAAAAAAAAAAAAAAAATGAGAAGCCTTCCAGGAAGAGCTGCTGCTTTGCTGAGTTTTGAAAGACTCCAGGACGTCGTCTAGATGGAGAAGGAGGGAAGAGATCAGCAAACATACGGAGACATGACTCACCTGGGAAATGCTTACGCCCAGGGTCTCTAGGGACCTATCTGACAGAAATAAAGCCAAGGCTGGGAAAGTCAGAAACCTGAAAACAATTACCTCTTTGGTTCTGGGTTATTTAATACAGTTAGTGAGGATGTAGTCTAAAAAGACAATGATGAGAGGACATCAGAAGAACAAATCAGAGTTCACCCTGGGTCAGTATAAGGTAAGAGAAAGTACAGAGAAGGGGTAGCGTCAGCCAACTAAGGGCGAACTGTTAGCAAAGGATGAGATCAGGGCGTGGGTAACGAGCTCCCAGCTGTACCCTGGGTCCTACGTATGGTAAACGCTGAAGCGTGCTGGACACTCTCTCAGGTGACCCCTAGGAGCTGAGAAAAACCTTCATTCATTCAACCTTCATTCATTCAACCCACATTTCTGAACAGCTATTATGTACATAATACTTTTCAGACACATGAAGAAAAAAGGGATAGAGTACTTGCCTCAAGAGCTTACAGACAAACTGGTAAGTAAGACGCGGAGAAGGGCAGACACCCAGCAGCTGAGGAGGCGGAGATACACAGAGCGGCCACACTAAGACACCACGCAAGTGAAGACCTAACGTGGGTTTTTAAAGATGGTGAGAGCTTGGATTAGGAGAGGGGAATAGTTCCACCCTTAGACCTGGGCAAGACGGCTGCCGCCCTGCACCCCACACTTTAGAGGGCGCCACTCTGGTCATCCTTTGGCTATTCCCCTCCACACAGGAAAAGAATCCTCTCAACCAGGGAAACGCCTGTCCGTGGCCATAGCTTCCCCCTCCGGACTGTGTCCCAAGTTCCCCAGGCCACAGAATTCTCTGCCAAAGAATAATTCTCTGAGCTCACATCCAAAACAACTTTAGCTATTTCCCCTTGCCCGTGTAATAAAGGCCACGTTCCATGACTTTGAACTGAATGTGTGCCTGTGTATAGCTACAGCTGAAGCATGGGAAGGCTGGGAGCAGGTAGGGCCTTATTTAAAGGGGTATCCCTGACTGCCGACCACAGATGATGAGAAGGTAAGATGGTACAACCACAGTGGAAAACGGTTTAGCATAAAGCACATATCCGTGCAGAGACTCATATACAAATACTCAGGGCAGGTGAATGGGTAAACAAACTGTGACATAACCACACAACGAAACACTGCTCAGCAACATAAAGGAATGAACTACCGATGCACACACAACATGGATGAATCTCAAAATTATGATGTTGCATTAAAACTAGACCAAAAAAAAGGATACACACTCTCTGTTTCCATTTATTTTCTGGCCTTTCATGTAAAAAGTTATCTATGTGATAGAAAATCAGTGGTTGCCTGGGGACTGCAGAGGAGAGGAGCAGAATATCCTTCAAATATGAGGGTGAAATAAGGACATTTTCATACACACGTAGGTGACAGAATTTGTAGCATCAGAATTGCACCGCAAGGTATGCTCAAGATGTTCTTTAAGGAACAATCTAGAGGGAAATGGTTCCATATGGAAAGTAGCATTTACGGAAAGGAATAAAGAGCATCAGAAATTTATCTTTCTGGGCTTCCCCGGTGGCGCAGTGGTTAAGAATGTGCCTGCCAATACAGGGGACACGGGTTCGAGCCCTGGTCCGGGAAGATCCCACATGCCACGAAGCAACTAAGCCCGTGCGCCACAGCTACTGAGCCTACACTCTAGGGCCTGCGAGCCACAACTACTGAGCCCATGTGCCACAACTACTGAAGCCCCACGTGCCTAGAGCCCGTGCACCGCAACGAAGAGCAGCCCCTGCTCGCCACAACTAGAGAAAGCCCGCACACAGCAACAAAGACCCAATGCAGCCAAAAATAAATAAATTAGAAAAAAAAAAAAAGAAATGTATCTTTCTGATCAAAGAGACCTAGCCCAGAGCAAGCTAACCTCCACCCACCTCATCATGTCCACTGCAACTGCCATCATCACCTCCCACACCCCGCGTACCCCACCCCAGGAGCAGTGCCGTGCTGCCAGCACTGCTGGCAGTGCCAGTGATGTCCTGCATCTGCCCCTTGTTCTACTGCCAGAAGGAACACCACCTGGAGGTAGCGGGGACCCATCAGAGGCAGACCCACTGGGCTGACTTCTTATGGAAAGGTGAGATGGTCTTCCCGGCCACGTGACATGCATCTCTCAGCACAGGTAGACTGGATCACCATGCACTCCTGCCTCTGCTACCATGTTCTGAGAGTACCT